ATGCCTTCAGGACGCAACATGAGAGGAAAAGGTAATTAAGGGTGTCTAAAGCATCATCATGTCACCCACAAGAACCTGGTTATCTCCTCACGCCCAATTATACCCATCTTACACTTATAAATGGATTTACAAAATCATTTGAAGAAATCCCCCCAGTATGACACCTGTGCCCTAAAATTTTAAATTCACACGAAGAATTTGTTCAAGCTCAACGTGAGCAGATGCCCAAGGACTTCTCCAAATCTCTCTCTCAGAGGCTTTACAAGGTGGGAGCTGTCCTCCGGCATCGTCATTGCTGGTGAGTTAGATCACACCCTTTTCCCCTGCATACACCTTGAATCGAATTAATGAGGAGTCCCTCGCCGTGCCACAGCGATGAGACGACAACAATGGATGGAGAGCGGCATTCACCAGGGACTGCCGGTGGATTTAATTAGTCTGTTTACCTCCTCGTGTGATGCCTAAGAACCTGATGCACAGTCACAAGAACGTCAGTGCGCGCACGCTCGTGCACAAACAGCTGTAAAAGAGATAAATTGCAAGCGCCTCCAGTCTATCAGTGCGTAGGAATGGCAACTCAGTTGGGAGAAAACTGCAGACAGAAAACAGCTTCTGAAAAGAGAATTCGCCGTATTAGTGTTTTGTTTATGTCAGAGAGCGAGCCTAGTGAGTGAGAGTGAAGAGGCTGGTGTGAGGTGTGCTGGAGTTTGCCATTAGGGATGTTTCTGCTGAAATCAAGCCTTGCAGCGTGGAGAGGAAGTGTAGCGATGCACAACTCTGCGCAGGCAACATCTCTCACAATCCCAAAGTGCACCATCACACAGACGGGAGGCTAAAAAGTACAGATTCACAGTTCCACATCTATCAGTAACATCATTATCATAACAAATAACTCTAGCATGCTTTTATGAGAAGAGAGAAGGCTGGATTTCCCTGCACATAAAAACATAACGCCCTGCATTACAGCACCAGCATTTCCTCTCCTTCCTAATCACGCTTGACAGAGGCCTACAGGCTAAGTGGGTTGGATATTACATACTATATTTAACGTGCAAACAGTTCCACTCCCATGACAGACAGTTTACTCTCCATCCATGAAACCGCCGCTCTTAATAACGGACACATGCGTACAGGAAGGAAAGTCTTGTAAGAGCTTGTAGGCAAAAACATTTCTCATTATTAATTCAGCTACAAGACGAAGTAGTATGCTAAGTGCATGAGTGCTAATTTTTCAAATGCAGTGAAAGCAGGAGATGGAGGAGGCCAATGAGAGCAAATCATGCGTAATAATAAACCTTTGTTTCCCAGAGCAACTGAGGAAGAGAGCATGCCGCCAAAAAGCCCAGTGGAGGCGTATTAAGAATGCTTGACTGGGCTTCTGGGAGGAACCACCAAGTCCTGGCGGCGAGAACTCTCTATCTAGCGAAGGTGGAGAAGAAAACTCCCCTCTGTAGAAAGAGTGTTGTATAACCACTTAATATATGGATCCAGGCAAGCGGAACACAAACACAAACATTTCATGTATGCCAGAATGCTCACAAACTAACTGCCTCACCAATTAAACATCATTAACATGATCCCCTAGGTGTGCTTCCTAGTTAAGTGCGATGTGGCTGCACTGTGCCTTTAGTCAGGCTGACAGCCAGGCTTAATTGGCTTCTGAAAGACACAAACGTCCTTCTCTAAGGTTCTAAAACCAGCTTCGAGTACAGCTTCTGTAAGAACAGGAAGACTAAAGAAATACAGCCCTTCAAGCAAGAGTGAGCACAAACTGAAGTGGACCACCTGTCTTGTTCTGTGCAGGTCTACGTATGTGTCTCCCAGGACTGATAGTAAGGGATGACAGGCATAAAGATATCTGCACCTGAATATCGTATATCCACCCCCCATACAACCATCTCTGAAAATCACACATGTATACAGTGTTGGAAAGGTTACTTTTAAAATGTATTCCATTACAGATTACAGATTACATGCCCCAAAATGTATTCTGTAACGTATTCCGTTACGTTACTCAATGACAGTAACGTATTCTGAATACTTTGGATTACTTAATATATTATCATGCTTTTTACAACTACATGAATGTACTATTGCTGTGTGATTTATTACTGTTACTGAAGGTCCGCGGCTCCGAACTGTAGTAAAGGGACCTCTGACTAATACGTCGGGTCCCTGTCGGCTCGTAGCTGAAAACTAGCTTTACTTTGTTGTCTGGGTCACTTTTCTTGTGAGAGACAGAGAGAGGCGTTGAAAGGCTGCTCCAACGGAACTTATTGTTTCGGAGGAAAACACGAGCACGGTGTACAGTCGAGTCTTAATCGCTTACTTACAGCTGGGCTCGTCAGGCTCTCTTCTTGGCTGCAGTGGTTATTATTATATTTACATGCTTCCAGCTCCCGTTTCTGCTCAATGACAACTCGTACCTTTCCACTCGCCTTTTTCTCCCTCCCTCGCTCACAGACACATAACGTGTCGCAGTCCATTCTCCCTGCAACACAGACTACACTGCCCATGATGCTACATTCTTTAGAGCTATGCTTGTAGCATTCTGCCTGTTAGCTTAGCACAACAACAACAACAACGAAAAGGCCTCTCTCACCCAGAAAACACACAGAGAGCGAGCGTCACCCTGTAACCATGGCAACCGTAACGCTGCCGCCTGGAACAACAGAACGTAGCTGTCAAACAAACCCAAACAGTCCTGACCCGCCACAATATGAAACAGGAAGTACCGCAGTGTAATCCATTTATTTCAACAAAGTAACTGTATTCTGAATACCACCTTTTTAAACGGTAACTGTAACGGAATACAGTTACTCATATTTTGTATTTTAAATACGTAACGGCGGTACATGTATTCCGTTACTCCCCAACACTGCGTGCGCGCGCGCGTGTGTGTGTGTGTGTGTGTGTGAGAAGGATTTTTAGCCAAGATTGCTACTTTTAACAGAAAACTCCCAAAGGGCCAAACCTGTGGGCTGTGCTCTGGAACATGAGTGGATTTTGTTAGAGGCCTAGGAACCTTTCTCTGGTGTCTGTCATGTGCTTACTTGTGTCTGCAGCAACATGAAGGACACAAAGCTGAGCTGTAGGCAAAGGAGCAGACAGTACCCTGTCTGGACAAAGTGATAAACACGCTTTTTGTTTCAAGTAAAAAATACTCCCTAAGGGTCATACCATGAAAAAATAAAAAAATAAAATCAATCAATCGTTGCCTCCCACCTCACCCTCTCAGAATAAGCCCATTTTTTTAAAAATATGAGCACATCACTCCAGTGCTGGCCTCTCTACATTAACTTCCTCTCCAGTTAAGTTTAAGAATTGATTGTTTTTAAGGCTTTTTAACAGTCTTATTTGTTTACATTCAGCTCCCAGTTCTCTCAGATCCACTGGTAAAAACTCAGAACACCTTTACTCTGACCCTTCCAGCCCACTAAGCCCTCATTTGTTCTTATGTATATTCAGTTCAGTCCAGTTCAATCTTATTTATATAGAGCCAACTAACAGTCACCTTAAGGTACTTCATGTTGTAAGGTGAAGACTGTACAATAACACAGACGACCCCCTACAAGCAAGCACAAAAGGAAAAACTCCCCTTTAACAGCTTGCTGTCAACTTTTTATTTGTAGCTTTAGCATTTTTAATGAAGCCATGCAATTTTTTTCCTTTATTCTATGAAACTGCAAGTTTTATACCCCTGAACTAAACAGAGGTGCTTTTTAATTCACTGTATTTTTCCAGGATTTCCGAGCTCTTATACCTTCATAAGTGTGTGCAATTTCCAGGACTGAAAGACACGCTTCAGCTCTGTTCAAATCTGCAACCAGCTCAATTTTACACCCACTCCAGCGTCACAATTTAAAGACAAAATCCTTTTTTTTGTGAGATGTTCCACACTGCACCAATTTTAATGTCCATGACGTGGGCTATTAGGAAATGGATTTTTTTCCCTCCAATTTTCTGATAATACCCTGGAGAATAACATGAAAAGTGCTTTTTTTTGGGGCAAACTTTTAGAGGGCACATCATCACATTTTGACACTCATCTTCTAGCTGTGATTTCATCTGCTTTAAAATTACTTTCTATTAGAGTCCTGGTTTTTTAAATGAAGAAAAAAAAAACTGCTCTGTTTAAGGAGTGTCATGTGCCCACACTATTAACAGGTCCTGAAATGTTTTTTCAAAAACCTTCTAGTTTGAGCACAGAACTTATTTTGCCGAATTAAACAACTTTATATGGGATGACCCTTCCCCAAGTATATGATATCCTCCTATTAGCAACCTGGAAATCTTCTGAAAGTTTTAAGACAGCTGAGGAAAAAATATTTGATTCAAATCCCTCAGGATAAACGGGGAGAAAGTATTAAACATGCAAAAAAAAAAAAAAAAAAAAAAATATAGGGTACACTTTCACTATGGTAGGTGTGGCTCTTCCTCACAGTTGCCCAAATTTACATCAATTCTGTGTATCCACATTTTTCTGATATTTTCAATGGTGTCAAAACGTATCAGCACTAGAACCAGAAGCCGGATCACTCATCACCAGAGTTTGTGAGGCTCTTTTTGGACAAGCTGACACAGCGGGCTTGTGATCTAACATTTCCATGTGGATTAAACACGGTAAGATTAAGATACACTCTCAATATAACATGTTCAGGAGTCGTTTCATATCATACTTTGCATGTAGAAGTTCCTAATCTGCAACCTAAACTGATCCTGTCTTGAGATCTGTGAGTAAACAGTGAGAAATCAGAAAGGTTTAGGTATTTAAAAAAACATTTTTATAAATGGGTTAGGGTTAGGGGTTAAAAAACAAAAAAAACAAAAAAAAAAAACAACATTTTTATGTTTTTCTACATATCTGTAATGGCATAGAGAATTGGTAATTCCTTATTATACTCCTTGGCTCAAAATAATACTTGAAATATGTACAACCCTAACCCTGCTAACCTTCATTGACACATATAAAACATATATATATAAAATAAACAGACTCATTTATGTATACTCAAACATCTTTTTTATAATCAAAAATATCATCCAAGCATTTACAGTGTATTACAACAAATGATTCTATGCAACTGTTAACCGCCTTTACAGAAAATGAAGAAATATATCTATTTTTTGATCTATGTTACAAACGAGGAACAGCAAAAAAGAGAAGAGAGGGAGGCCAAAGGGTTTGGAGGATTGAAGTGTTCAGGCGTACCCTGATTACCTCCCAGTGTAGCCCTGTAGACCGGGCCCACACTGACACCACACAGAGCCGACTGTAGGCTTTGAAATCACAATGCCCTGCCCCTGTGGGCAAAAAACTACAGAATAATCCAGTGACTGTAGGAATTGGTGCTGTTCTGCGACTCGCGGGGAGTCATCGCGTCTAAAAATATTTAGCCGACATCGAGAAACTGAGTTCAAGCTCATGAAGACTGCATCACCAGGGCTTGGTGTCAACACTACTGTAGCCATAGAAATGCAGCATTTGCACGTCTCTGCCACCCACACAGAGTCCCTGAAATGCTGTTAACTTTCCTCTCTGATCTGTGCTCAGTCTGCTGTGTCCTCGTACAGTCAGGCGCAGGTTTCTTTCACATGTCTACAGTATCTCAGTGTTGCCTTGTCCGCCTGTTTTCTCCTCCACAAGTGCCACCGGCCGTCTCTACGTGCTCTTGATGCACTGAAAGCCGCAGAAGTTCCAGCGTTTCTCTAGACTGGCTCCGACACCAGTTAGCTCCTGTCTGAAGGTGCAGGGCAGCCGAGAGAGAAGAGACTCCACCTCAGTGGGGTTGATCTGCAAACACAGGTACAGATTATAAGCCCACATTGTCTAAGACATATCCATCTGCACCTGTGCACCACACAATCACATTCATTAAAATAAAAAAAAAAAGGTATTCCTGAAACAGATCTTGCACAAATCACACTTGAAAGTAGTGAAACCTCTGGAGAACCAGCATCAGACCACAGGTCACATCCATCTGCTGTCCCACTAACCTCGTGACTTCACTCAGCTCTCAGAATTCTGTTTTGACTTTCCTCACATGAGATAAAACACTTACACAGTTATTAGAAGCCAGATGTTGGAGTTAAGCAGTGGAACTATTAATTATATCATGTCTTGATGGACAGCTTATCACTAAAATTAAAACCCCTTGATTTATTTTTTGATTTAAAATCATTTAAAAAATGTTTTAATTTAAAACCGTCAAAGTCTGCTCATGGCACTGAAGTAAGCAACTGTGTTTGAATCAGCTGGGACACGTGACTATGATCGGTTCATTGCTCTTGTTAGCAGACCTGAGGAAGGTCATTCAGGCCTTTATCTCCTCCAGACTTAATTATATCGATGTGCTTTTTTTCAGGTTTTACAGGAAAAACATTAAGAAACTACAGCTAGTCAAGAGTCGTGCTGGTGGAGATTATCTATCACATTAGCCGCGTCTTTACCGTCCTTCACTGACTTAGAGGAGTTTAAGATTTTTGCTACCTTTGAAAACTTTGCGGGAGTGGGAACCTTTGTGCAACTCAAACGCAGCTTTGCCGTCTCCTGTCACTGCCGTACAGACTCATTAGCTGAAGAACTCAATGCTTGACTTAACCAACAAAAAGGGGTTTTTAAACCCCTTCTAACTACCAAACCTTTTGCAATACTTTCGTAGTTTTAATTGCAATCATTCTAACTTACTATTTTACAGATTTGTACCAAATTGCAAGCTGGTAAGTTGACGGGCGTCCATATGCCGTAAGAACATCTTTAATCAATCCTGGTACTGATTCTGCAAGCTTCCAAAATGTACTCAAGGCTCTCTTGGTATTTTAGTTATAATGTGGGAGACGCTGGCCACAGAATCTTTCATATTCACCTGGGCTTAAATCTGGTGGTTGCACAGCGTAGCATGTGATTCATATCCCTTTCCTACTCAAACTATTCAGTGACTCATGGTATCCTGCGGATGGAGACATTGTCATCCTAGAAATGTTTCGACCCTAATGGAAAAGTTTCATTATAGGATGAAGGATAAATCATGCAGAGCAGCTATTTTCATCTGTTACGATGGGCAGCGCGTCAAATTACACATGCTAGAATAATAAAATCTCGACCTTCCCGTGAGTGTGAGACAGACTGCATTGCTCCTCATTTATAGGGACCGTCTTTCTTTACATGGAAACTGTCTTCTAATGTAGAAGAAACTGAACAGCTGTGTGCTCATATTGCTTAATCTCACAGAAGTGCGCTGAAGAAGTTTCTAATGTTCTAGGCTTTTTGTCAGGAGAGCCGCAAGAAGTCCCAGATGCAGTGTCGGTACTCATTACGACATATTATGCAAGATAATGTGATCAATTTTCATGCGTGATGGCCATCTTTGTTCCAGACATCAACCAACACCCAATTTCATCTGGATCTGGTGATTATCGGGCTGATTTTGTGTAGTCTGCAGACTGCAAAAGGGGGCGAGTTAACCCCAAACCATGCTTTCTACGGCTTAACAGAATCTCTGGATCCCCTTAATGTAGCGCTCAAAGCTTCAGGCTTGTCAGTCGTCTTTGAGCTAATTTTCAGTTATATTTGCACAACGACGCACATCAAACTCGGCACAGATGAAAAATATACTTAGCCCCTAATTATAACTTTGCAAACATTTTAGTCATAACCATTAGTGAGAAAGTGTACTCATGCTTTTCAATTCACTTTGTTTTCAGTGGAACCATCTTTTAAGGCAGGAAACCACTTTGGGAGAAAAATGCTCACCAGCCCTTGTTGGGTCACCCAGTGAGTTGTTCATAACATTCACGCTTTATTCTCTTACACCTCCTCTACACGTTCAGTCACATGGGTGGGCTGAGGATCAGTCAGCCTAAATCCTGAGGTGACGCTGCCAAGATTCACTGTCCAAGCTGCTGTAAACATCCCACAGTGACTTGAATTAATAAGTAGATTGTTTAAGAGCTGCACTCATGTCAGGACGCATTAAGAGCCATCGTGGAGATAGGACTAGAGTGTCATTACACACAATGAAGCCGTGCGTGATTGTGTGTGTGGAGCGACCAGATAAGGAGAGAGGATTGGACTCGTTGTTGGTGAGTCCAGCCAGTGATATTGACAAAACTCTGTGGGCTGCTTAATGTGTGTAGCGAAGAGTCTGTGTGGGAACAACAGATGTACAGGCAAACTCAGACGCACACAGACAGACAAGCGTGGGCGTCCGCTCACATTAAAACACACTCAAGACAAAAAAATCCCCAAAAGGCATCAGAGAAGTCCGTCACACTCTTTGCATGTGTGAGAATGAGTCAGGCTGGTGATGAGCATATTTAAAGAGTTGCTACAGAGAACACGCATTTCTCAGGGCAGCCACGTCGATGCGCTTGAGACATCCGCATTTTTGCCAATTAATTCTACTAAATGATAAGTTGTCTGAAAAGGGTTTAATGTTTGCTCAGCGCTGGGAATATAAAGGGATAGGCTGCCATTTTTCCCCCTGAAGGTCTTCTTGTTGGGGCGGAGAGGAGAAGTGGCCATTAATCTTAGTGTTGCTTTTTTGGAGGTGACACTGAAAGTTGGCATCTTGAAAGCCTCATATAAGTGGCAGTGAAGAGCGATAATGTGTCTAAAACGCCTCGTCGGAAAGATGGGGATGGAATAGCCTCAGCGGACAGAGTGGAAGCTGAGGATGTGTGAGGATTGGGCGGTGTCTGGCTTCAAGTGACATGAAGAAGGATCTACTTTTAATACGTTCCCGCATCAGGAAAAGTCAGATATGAGAAGACATGTTTGAAGTCCACATATAGAAAAGTGAAACGGTCAAAGTTAAACTTGCTTGAAAACCATTTTCACCACATTATTAGGTACACTCCTTCAACTGCTTTTTAATGCAAATATTAAATCAGCCAATTGCAACTTAATGCATATGCAGTCATTTTTCTGATCTCACAAAGCTCAAACAAACTAAGCTCAACGAACTCATGCATTGGTGTCCTGAACATGTCAATGAGTTCATTGTACTCAAGTGGCCTTCACAGTCCCCAGTCTGACGTTTACTGTGACTGGTTATGTATTTGTCTCAGTAAAAGTGGAGTGTCTCTTTTCCAAGAGACCTTTCCAAAACCCACAGTTAGCTCACAACATTTTTCTATATTTAACAAAACATTAAACACTATAATAATAATAAATACCAAGCTGTACGCATTTAGAAGGCAAAGAAGAATGAGCAGTGTGGAAATGAGTTGTTAGATGTGTTGGTGTGCACATGTTGCTGGAAAACACCACCAAACCTTTAAATGAGCCAGCGTATACAGGAAGCCACTCACATGAGCCAGGTGTCTTACGACATCAAAATGTACACATTTGAACTTACAGGGAAGCGTTTACATGGCTAATGAAAAAAACATATATGTTAAAACAGCAAGCTCTCGGTTTATCCCAGTTCAAGTCAAAGACAAAAGAAATGTTGCTAAATACCAAAGGGGGCTAAAACACAGCGCTGTGTAAATCTGTTTGGACAGACATGTTATCCTTCCTCTCACCTTTCTCTTGGGGAGAAAACAAATATTTGTATTGTCAAAGGGCTCTAAAAGAATACAGCTTGTGTTGATGGCACAGCAGGGCCTTGGCATACAAGCCCATACATCAGTCCTATACAGGAAAGAGACACGCTGCCAGTACAGGTGCATACAATCCACAGTAGAAGAAGTTTTGATTCGTGCGAGTCTGTTACCTTGGTGTCCAAACGCTGCAGGTATGAACAGATGTACTCGATGCTGGCTCCAAACGGGTGGACGTGCAGGAACGTTGAGATGATCCCTGAGGTAGAACAAACAAATCGTGGGGAGATGTTAACACAGAGCCATGTCACGAACCACCTGTCACCCATAAAACGTCGATGAACTACACCAGTATGTTCACAACGCCGCTTTATCTGACTCTTTCTCCTGTCCTCTGACTGAGCTTCGAGTGGCGTCTCCCAGAGTCCCACTACTGTTAAGAGCCTCTTGTACATTGTGGCTCCAGATTAGAGAGAGTGTTTAATGGTGGCTTTGATGCCGTTGTCTCATCAAAGCCCAACTCTCCCCTAGCTCAAACATACCATCTGCTATCAGCTCACAGACAGGGCCAGGAGAGAGGTAATCCTCCACCTCTGTTTACAAATCACCTATGCAGCATTGAGGTACCCTGATTTGAAAAAAAAGAAGCAAAAACAAGTAAAAAACAAACAACAATAACAAAACAAAGTGAAAGCAACAATGATTTCTGCTGGGTCAAACACCGAAGCAAAAATATGATAAGCATTAGAGTCTTTTTAGAGGAAAACAGTATGCCAAGACTTCATTTTTGTCACCTGCAGGAGGTCAATCGATACTTGAACACAAACAGCGTGCTCGTCTGGAGCTGCTCCACTGACAATGATTAAGAGACCGACTGAGAATCTAATGGTGCATTTAGATAGCACACCAAGTTAAAATTCACGATGATTTATTTGCAACAATTCGCCCACTACAATCGTTTTGCTGTCCATGCTTATTCACCTTAAAAACCAGCCAATAAACACCTTCTCCAACTGACAGCAGACGTTTGCTGGAGCAATATGCACCCACTCTCTGCGTGTGTGTGTAGATTACCAGAATGTGCTAGAGTCAGAGCTCATGATCATTACATTGATGAGACCATAAAAGATGACAAATGGTGATTTTCACTTCCAGAAAGGAACAGACACTGCTGCCATTCCTCTTATTTTACACCACATTTCTTTCTAAGAATTGTATAACTATTACGTCTGAAAGCTGACACAACTATCAAGTACCTGAAGAAACAAGCCAATAAATATAAACAACACTTGAACATTAAAAGTTTCTGTAAAATGTTCCATGAGGCAAATCCAAAAACAGGTGATCGCTCTATAGAGAGGAAGCTTTGAAGCTACAGTCACACTAATGAAAACAGTGGTTGGAGACCGAGACACAAACTTGCAATATTGTTGCCAAACTCATAGATTTAAAAAAAATGGAATTCAGAGATTCCTTCACAAAGAGTTAAAAAGTAGCTGCAGGATGGTGATTTACCTGCACAGTGACAGCCACTGTGGAACCTGGTCTTTCAATAAGATTATAACCAGAATGCAACAGAGTAAAATCTCATAGTTGATCATTATTTGCCAACCTCAGCCAATCTGTCTGAGTGCGACTGCAGTCAGTCTAAGGAAGAGTGCAACTGTTTGGAGACATGTTGCCTCCCACCAGGCAACCTGTGCTATCGCATTTCAATCTTAAGCAGTCGAAAGCAGCTGGTCACGGCAACTATTTGCAAAAATGAAAAACAACGCAACCCTTGATTTTTACTTGTTGCAAGGAAGTCGTCATCCTTTTTTTCCTCATAAGCCATAAATGCAGCGGTTGGTGCAGCATCCAGACTTCCCATGTTTGGTGTTTCTGAATCTTTATCCAAATCTTCCTATTTTCTGCCTTCAAAGCACTCTGACACTTTGTGTGCAGGTGCAGGGCCATGAATGCTGAGGGCAGCTCGAGTAAGGTGTGTGTTATAATAATAAACTCTGCATATAAGAAACACACATTTCTGGAGAAAGAGGCATTTGAATGTAACCAGGAGCCAGCGATCAAATGTAGCTGTAAGCTTGTGTCCTGGTAAAGGGCACAGTGAAAAGACAATTTACTTAGCATGTTTTGATGAGAAACCAGAGCTCCCGGAGGAAGCGTGAGGAGAGGATGCAAACTCCACACAGAAGGGCCCGGGCCTGCCACTGAGCAGTTCATGGGTTAAGAAATGTCTCAGTGAGAGTGCTGGGAAAAGCCAGAGTGTCAGCGTACCAACTAGCAGAGCTTCCCTCTCGGAGTGGACAGGACTTGGTGGATTCCTCTCTGTGGGACCTTCTTTCTCCTGACTGCAGGACACCACCGTCGACGCTGTGGCTTCCTACACGTGCACAAAACACACACACGGTTAGCATGAATCAGTCTGCAGACAGCCACTGGCACTGTTTGACTGAGTTATCTGGCGTAATGTAAACAAATTCAAATTTAGGCTGATGCATGGGACACAATAAAAAGACAATCGTGCACAAATAAGTGCGACGAGCACACCAGAAAGTTTCACCACCAACATGTCAATCCAGAGAGACAATGAAAACGGGGATAATGAATGAGGAAGGGGATAATGAGGCGAGGGAGGATATTCAGCCAGCAGCTATATTTCTAATAGAGGGAAGCGTGTCTCGCACATACACAATGACAGGACAGAGGAGACGAGTTTGAAAAGAACAAATAGAGGGAGAGGGGAAGAGACTTGGAAGGCGAACGATCAAGCTGCTCGTTTCAGATCTCTGACAGGTGGCAGAGAAGAGGCAGCATAACAGAAGAGATTTTGTCTGTGCTTGTTGTTCTACACAGTACGGTGCGTACCATTTCCACTTCTAGTGTGGGATCTCTGGTGGCCTTTTTTTATCCATCCATAACACCCTGTGAGTGTGTCTTGGTGTGTGGGTGTGTAGACATATGCACATGTGCAAGCCGTTTTGACTTTATGACTCCTTTATTTCCTAGCCCACTTGTGTCTGTGTGATTTATTAAATGACACATGCAGTTGCAGTGAACTAGTTTGGCCCGTAATGATCTGTCATGTCATTGGAAGAGGAGAGAGGGGAAAATCGGGAGGAGGAGGAGAAGGAAAACAAGAAGAAGAAAGGGAGAATGAGGACAAAACTATGTGGAGGACTGAGCATTTTTCCCCACTTACGCTGCTTTGATTAGCGCTCTCCTCGCTTCCTCTGTCGTCTTGCTTCGACATCTCCAGCTGTAGCACATTAGAAACATATGAAGAATAACACACTGAGAAACAAGCCAGGCAGCAATGTATGCAGACAGGCAGGAGGGAGGTCTTAAAGTTGTTTATTTTTAGAATAATGTCCAGATATGAGCTGATTGTGAAGAAACAAGAAAAGCTAAGACAGTAAACTCCATATGGATGTAATTAACTCTTCCTGAGTCAAAACTGGCACAAACAAGTCAGCTATTAAATATGTAACAGTGTGCGTCCTGATTTTTCTGGAATATAAAACAGCTCTAATGATACGTTAGTCCATCAACAGCAAAGTAATCCACAGCAGACCTGCTAAATGATCAGCTTAAAAAACAAAAAAACAGCCTGTCAGGTGTAAGGACGGGTTTTCACAGATGTACAGTCTGTGCATTTAATTTGGATTGGTGGACTTGCTGGTGTGTTTCGGATCACTGTCCTGCTATGTTAACAAGTTGAGTCGAAAATAAAAAAATTAGGAGCTTCAGAAGCTGTCAGAGTGTCAAACAGACCCACTGTAGCTCACAGACAGCTTTATCTTGTGAAAAGCAGTTACTACAAATAAAGTCATTTATGTCTAGATACAAGTTATTATGGACTGTTATGGATTCTACATACACATCAATTTCTTTACTGATTTACAATCAATATTCTGTCTGGAACAATTTACTGGCTCTGGACCCAAACACAGCGGAAAAACAGTGTTTAATAAAGGCTTGCATTTGACTCAGGTGTGCAAAGCTCCAACGCCACAAGTTAGACTGTCAGATAAACCGGCCAAGCTTACAAAGAATACAATTAAATGGAAAGGACTCAACTAGAATTGGTTTTAGATTGCTACCCTTATCTCTGGCTCTAAATTGTGCTTTTTATCATAAGGAATAATTGTGGGTGATGCTGAGTTTACATTTACAGTGTGGGAGGCTTCCAGTGAAAATAAACTATTGAGTTGCATAATGGGAAGTGCTTTCCTTATATTAGGTACTGAAAGTCTGAATATCCTGGCTTTCTCATGTATATCGTCTCACAAGTGGTAACTTGCGATACCAAGTCAGTGAAATGCCCCTTTACTCACAAAGGAAAGCAGCCGATAAATCCCAACGGAAAACTCTTAGTGACGACAATAAAATACATACAAAGAAATGATAAAGATGTTTGTTGTGATCATAATAATAAGGTTAATGGCTTCAATGACCTGCACTTGCATCGGTGAAGTGATATGTGGCGACAGCTCGCTGACAGTAAGGACAGTGACTGAACCAGTGAAGAAGAACTGATGGCATGAGAGATGTCCTCGGCATGACAAATCATCCTACATTGCCTGCTAATCTTCGGAGAAACCAACGCCCCAAAATTGATTTCTCTTTCTCCCTTTAATGAGACTGTCTTTCATGATTCATGTTTGCCCATATGCAAGAATTTAATTAGCATATTTCCCAGGGCTCACAGTTGTGGAGGGACACATTTCTAATCAAACCCATCACTCTTAACAAGCTATTGACAACCCTGTCATTCCAGCTGATCGGAAGAAGAAGAGATCCGTTAACAAATGACTAACTCAGCTCGGCGTCGCATGAAACCTGTTATCTCGGAGCTAACAGACAACACACGCAGAGGCTCCCCACATAGTTTGAGAGCCTTTCGTTTGTATTATCATCCAATTTAATAGGCGATTTAACCCGAGGCTCATTTTAATGACAGCCATTTCTCTCATTATACCGAGCGAGAAGGAACATTAACAAACATGAGCACTTTAGCACTCGGCGCATGGGACAACACCTGAAACATTAGTAAACATGACACAGCAAGCAGAGAAAAATGACCCATGAAAACTGAAATTGTTTATAAGATTGAGGATTGTGCGTCTGTCAGTGGAAGAGTGTAGTAATACAGCTTGACACGAATCAATATTAAATGGAAAAATGTGCCTCAGTGGAAGAAGCACATTTAACTAATGTGTTTTTTTGGGGTAGGCAGGGCTGCTCGATGGTGGCAAAAATCCTTTTATCGTGATCAACATTCAGATGACCATTTACCACAATTACTCAGTTCGGAAAAATACTAAATTTACTAAAGAGAGTCATTTTAAGAGTGGCACAGTAGTCGTTTTATCTAAATCACCTTGTTTTACTCATCACTGCGAGCTTAAACTGAATTGAAATGTAACTGAAATGAAAATTAGATTCATTGTTCAGCCCTACAGACAGCGCTGGACTCCTCACTTCTTTGTATTTTGCTTCCAAGGAGCCAGACTTTCTTGTATTTTTAAGTGGTCTTGAGCAATATTTCTTAAGGCTTTCTGAAGGTCTTTCAAAGGTTTCACTCATTTTCATTCCAGTGCTTGTACCCGACTGCTTTCAGAGGAATGCTTTTGTTTGTTTGCGGAACCACTTAACATTGACCTATGAATCACTCAAGCATTACAAAGGCACCTAACTCAAGGGATGAGCCAGTGTTATGTCAACACAGACGACTGAGCAAAGAATCAATTTGAAATTGCATCTTTAGGCACTTTGTTACTAACAGTCTTTTCCCAAAAACACCAATGTAGATTAATAAAGCAGCAGGTGTGGCCACGTGGCTCCTATCTGGCAGGTAATATCCCCCAATCTGGTGACCATACTCTGACATCGCTGCGATCTGTTAGTTACAGCCTCTCTGAGAGAAAAAAAAAAACACTGCTTTGTGTGATGCCGGTGCAGATGCATGACACAAAGGACAAAATGTTCAGGACTGAGAGCGCGTGACTGGGTAAGGCTGGTGGTCGGCGTGACATAAAATCGCAGCTGCAGAAAAGGGAAGAAACCATTTGAGTTTGGTCAACTGTGCTCAATGTGTTTCTAGTTAAAAAAGTGAATTAATTTCTTTGGTATTTTTGTCATGCGGGTGTTGTGAGAACATACAGTTCAGATGGTTAGCCAGCCTGCCTCACAGAAGAGAAAAACCCTTAAAAACGGCATTATCTGGTGCAGACGAGGGCACGGTGAGATGGGAGTTGCTGCTGGCGCTGCCTTACTGTTAGACAAACAGGTTACAACCTAAAGGCTGAAGGTATTTATTTTGGCAGTAATCTTTTTGCTGGCATGGATGTTCTGCAGAGAGCTTTTAAAAACTCTGTTTACACCTAGGTATGTTACTTGGATAACGATAAGGGCCTTGAAATACTCAGCACTGTTATAATGAGGCAGCAAGGGCAGGTTTTCATTTTATGATAGTAAGGATGTAGAGATAATGATTGATGAGCCTGTGGAGACTGATTAAATGTACCCGACTGGGCAGGATGCTGTTGAGGGTGCGTGCGGAAAGTTGGCCTTATGGGAGTTATTTAAAAGAAAAACAAGCCTTTGTTTTTGGTGAAATAACGCTACATTCTGGTTCAGTGTGCTGTCACCCACTCAAAGATGAGACTCTGGCTGACCAAGGGAGGGGTGCTTTAGAGGCACCACAGCCCAGTCTTCTGTGTAGTCCAGCTTAAACACTGAATAAGGTCTGAATTAAAAACTCTAGGAATGGGTACATGAAAATCTAAAGCCTCGTTTGATTTACATTTAGCTCATGTCATTTTCTCATAGGTCATCTTCTTGACCATGTGCAGAAACCATCTACTACAGATTGTCTCTGTAAGCCTTGTGCTGATCACTTAAACTGTACTATATGAATTCACAGTGGAGTCCAAACTTTCCACGGCTTAAGGCGGCGCTTCAGGTGAGAAAACACTCAGACAAATCCCATTTTTCCCCCACTGGGTCGTGCATCGTGAGTTGGTTCCCCAGGGTGAGACTGTTAATGTGGACTTTTACTGTACTGTCCTGAGGCGTCTGCCAGAGAAGTTTCAGCTGAGAAAACTGGAAGTGCCACTGTGTGCTGGTTCACAGCGCGCAGTGAAAACAGAGGAGTTTGTTGGCTGCGCAAACACAATCTTCACTCACAACCCGCATCACTAGATTGCCAAATTTGCCTCCCTTCATCTAGATCCCGAAAATGAAAATAAAGCTGAAACATTCCCATTTTGACTCGTTAAAGAGGAAGAATGCATAAGAAGCACTTCCTATGAGAGAGCCAAAAATAGCATCCCACTTGAACGTAGTTCAGAAGTGAACAAGATGGTGACCTTCAAAGTGGCACTGGCCACAGCAGGTCAGGCTTGTGACTCGTGTGCACCTTCCTCTCTGAAGTTTTTGTGCACAGCTGTACAGATTTCAGTTTCTTGTGCAGGTCTGAGTTCGGCCACAAAACAAAATGAAAATTTGTAAAGAAAGACTAAGTGAATACCAGGTTGTGATCTAGGTCAAGCTTTGCTGTGGACTGAATTTTTTTCAAACGTTTGATGTAGCCAGCACAGTCGAAGCACAAGCAGAAACGGTGCAACCGAATAAACAAAACAGAGGCTGAAACTCACCAGTTAGTTTTGCAATTAACGTCGACGGTCATATTTCTGCTCTACAGTCAGCTACAGCAACAAGCTGCCATTTGGACGAAATGATTTGAAGATGGAGAACAATTACATTCAGTCTGTTACCATTTACAAGGGGAATAATGCCACCAAACATCACTTAAGAGAAGGTAAAAGAGAGAAGTTCTTTTATTTTTTGATTATTATTTTATTATACTTTGATTTTCAGTCAACAAATCAAGTGATCAGAGCTGAAAGCAGCTGAAAATGGAACTACCTGGAAGATATGGTGCAGCTATAATTTACTAGCTCAATTTGTTTCTATGGATGCCTGCGGAAACTGAAAAATGTTTGAATACACAAATGACACACAGGCCTTTAAATGGGTATTAGTTAAAATGTTCTTTAGCTTTTTAGTAGGGCACATTACTATTACATAAACTGAGGGAATTCATAAATGTCATTTTACTGAACTACTTACAACATGAAAGCTGCAACATTAATATTTTTTGGAGTAAAACTACAAATGAAAAACTTGATTATACCGTGGTTTAAAAAATGAATAAACACTCCAGGGAGGAAAATGAGAACGAAACCTCCAGTAAAAGTCAGAAATCTCATTGCAGTCTGTCCTTTTTTCCAGTTTTGATATTTTGAAGACCCCATTCATGCTAATGGTAAATAGCCTGCATTTGTATAGCGCTTTACTTGGTCCCTAAGGACCCCAAAGCACTTCACACATCCACTCATTCATGATGGGTGATGGCAGCTACACTGTAGCCACAGCCGCCCTGGGGCGCACTGACAGAGGCGAGGCTGCCGGACACTGGTGCCACCGGGCCCTCTGACCACCAACAATAGGCAACGGGTGAAGTGTCTCGCCCAAGGACACAACGACCGAGACTGTCGGAGCTGGGGCTCGAACCGGCAACCTTCCGATTACAAGACAAACCGCCAACTCTTGAGCCACGATTCATGCTGAAGTGCATCAATTTCTTTTTTCAGACTTGTGATATTAAATACTTTATACATGTAACTGTGAGCACAAAGGTTCTCATGTATAGTTTGATATTTATATGGTTCAGCCACCATTGAATGGCTTGTTTGTTTGCAGTCAAGCACACTGGTTTTTCCACCCAATGTGGCCATTTTGGGATCCTGATGAGTTTAGAAGAGCTTTAAACTAGTTCAAAGTGATTTTCTCAACCCCAAACTACTTACTGCAGCATTCACATTGCTCGCTGTTTATTTATTTATGATTTACATCTTTAATTTCTTTTGTGCACTGAAACTTCTTGAAGGCCTCGGACTAATTTCTTTCCCATTAAAGTGCAGAATAATAACTGTTCGAACAAACAAATAAACTCACTCTCCTATGAAACGCAGAATGGCAACGCTCACATGTTCCCAGTGAAAGCGTGCATGTCTGTCACACCTACCTGCATTACGTGTGCGTTTTGCAGGTTCTGGAGACCTTCCTTCAGGTTCTGCACTTGATTCTTCAGCTGTTGTTTTTCCTCCAAACTCTTCTCCAGCTCGGCCTCCCGCTGTTTTAATTCTTCCCTCATTTTTAACAGTTGCTGTAAAAACAAAAAAGCGAGCACATTAAGCCACTAATGCCTTTGTGAGCTAACTAACCGTGACAATGCTAACCTCATAATCAACCTGCTCTGAAAGCAGAGGAACAATACGCCATTTGTTCATTAATATTTAGCATCTAATCCCCATACTGGTAATTGGAACTTCAGCTCAATACAAAAAAGCAATTAGATATGGATGTGAATTATATGATTAATAAACATTTTTACAGAAAGAAAAATTCTGCTCTCGTGCATGTGTCCAAGAGGAATCATTTTGCAGATCTTTCAGTCAAAAATAAATATGCATGAATATAGAAGAAAAACTCTTAATAGGGATGTTAATCGGAACGCTCATTTGGGTTTCATGCTTGCTTTGAGTACCAGAAGAACCAGTTTTGAGAAAGCTTTGAAGGCTAACACCTAGATTTGTGTCCAATTTGTCTGACGTTTCTTCCTGAACACAGATAAAAGGATCCACCTTCTGTGTTCATTTCAACACAAAGGCGGTACGCTTGTTGGAGGGGGGTCTTTGCAGCTACAAGTTTTCGCCTGCACTCCTAATCACTCAGTGCTTTTTCTCTGTTACACTATAATTCACAAGAATACGAGACAAGGTTGTCAGTATGTGCTGATATTTTTGTTTACTTTCTAGTCTGAGGGACTCTGCAATACAACGTGTGGACGCTGACAAAGGAGAGGTATCCCATTGCAGCGCCTTCCAGTTCATTTAATCCATTCACCTAATCTTTTCATAAACACACCACGGGATATGCAAGTTGGAAAGGTAATTACTCTCCGTGAGCAGAAATGAGCAGCGGGGGTTTAATGGATTTTTCTTCTTCTAAACATGAATTGATCATAATTTCCATTACCTGAGACACCCAGAGTGAGTCAAACTTTAGCATTGTAAAGGCAGATTTAAGGATTTCTGACATCCTATGGCTGCTCATTTCAAATTTAGAAAGATTATTAAGCTGTAAGGTAAAGATTTAGTAGTTAAGATAATATTTCAGTGATCGTTTTGATCTTAATCAGCAGATCCGGTTCACAATGCTGAAACAGAATTAGAGTTAATTGAACTTACGCATGTCCTTGTTTCCCCATTTTGCTGCAGAACGACTCAACAGACCTTATAAAACTGTTTGCTGATCTGCTGTTTTCAAGGTCAAGAATAAAAGGCTCCAAAAGTAACCCATACAAATAATAAAAACTTTAAATGACTTAGTCAATATAGTCTTAAAGATTATCTTCTTTACTTTTGGACAGCTTTCAGTGTGGCTGCTTTTCCCCCCCAAAACATAAAAAAATATCAACGGTGGTGATGAGAGCTGTGTCCTCAGCTGTGACCCAGCATGTAGGCGTGTAGGGTCAGGAGGGTGATCCAGGGGATCTGGGTCACTTTGCACCTTCACTTTGTCCCCAGACTGTTCTGACTGCAATTTTCCACAATCTGGAAACCAGGTGGAAACTCTGCAGGCACTGTGGAGGCACAAGTGCAAGGGGACCAGAAAAACACTTCTGTGTAGGGATGTAAAACATGAGCTGAACGAAAATGGGTCCAGAGGTGCATGAAAAGATAATGCTGCATGTGAAGATGCATGAAGTCAAATTATTTTTGGAGTTTTAGGAGCCTATTAGCTAAACTTTGTAGACTTGAACCTCTAAAATTGTCTGTACATGCTTTCTGACATTACTGACCACCTCAGCCTCCTATCTTTCAGAAAACTTGACCTCACTCCTTGACCTTGGGGTTGAGGTCTTTTTTTGCCTGTCCCGTTTGGGTCTTTGCCATCAACATTATTGTCTAAAGGCAAAGAAAGATACCCAAATGTTTTAAAACACTTAGATGGGTTCTTTTCAAAGTAGGAAATGTAAAAGGTTATTCAGCAACTTTTAGATTGAAACCTAGTTCATGTCATTAAAATCCTAATAATGTTTTTTCAGTATCTTTTTTTGATTAAATGGTCTGAAATGGTTTTAATAGGCTTGGGTTCGTTCCAAGAACATGCTGTTTGAATCGCAGCACATAGCTCTCCAGTTCCAAATAAAACCCGTTCTGACAGTGAACAAGTGTTCCTGTAAAAATATTTTTCAGCTGCTCTTCACAGATGCTCCAGACAACTGCGCTTCTCTACGTGCTCCCAAATAGCACTTAGCTACCATTTAAAGTGCAGGGTCATGGATAAATGACAGCGAAGGTTTCAGCTTGCATAGAAAATTCAACGAGTTAACCTGAGCGACCTTGTTGGTACAAAGTACCCAGTGCAGACAGGAACCAATAGATTAAACCCACTGATGGACAGAAGGCTGGAAGATGCTGTCTCTGTATGCTTCTGTGTAGACAATAAGCATCACCTTCTGCATGCCTTGCAGAGCCTGCTGCAGGAAGCTGAGCTGCTGTGAGTGAGTGTTGTCCTCCTCGCTCCTAATTGGCTGATTTTTGCCTTGTTCTTGTTTTAGCAGCTCCACCTCGTTCCTGTAGGCGTCCAGCTGGCAGCGTAGGGAGTCGTTCTCCTCCTTTAATGCCTCTGCTTGGGAAACTCCTACATAATAAACACAGAGAAAATTAAATATTCTGGTTATCATGGATCGCCACCGGTCATTCCCTATATTCATTTAACACCCCTAACAATACAAATTCCAGTTGAGATAAGGCTCAGTTTTACTGTGTCACTCCTGATACGGTGCTCTTGAGTTTTCCCCGAGCCGTTTGTCCTCTGAAGACGTATATATTAAAACACAAACAAGATAGTAAAGGTTGCACCTCTGACAGTGACATGTGCAGTCATGATTGCATCACTCCTCATTCACAGAGGCAACAGCAGGAGGTGACTATTAGAGCACTGATAACAAAAGAGTTAGGACAGAGCATGACAGAAAAAGATGGTATTTATCTACAAAGCAGCTGACATCAAAGCTCCAGAAAGCTTGGTTTACATCCCATTATTTTACCCACTGTTATTTTATTCGCAGTTGGAGGATTTCTTTCACTTGGATAGGCATGAAATTTACATACCATATTCCTGATAATATAATGAAGCATTTTCTGTTTGCAACCACTTTGATTTGCACCTCTGACTGGCTTCGGCTACCCAACAATAAAGGCTGAGGCACAAAGGCAGCCATCAAGGTGAGAAATAATGGTCAAAAACGGATATCTCAGAAATAAAGTTGAAGAAAAAGCTAAAGAATGTGTAGTGATGGGATCGTGTTACCTGCGACGTGTTATGTTTCTGATATATAATTGGTAAAAAACTAATTTAGTAATAAATATATCATCGAAACAGTACTTTGTGTTCACAAGTCAGGCTACGGTGATTTTTGAGATGTGGCTTCTTTTTGATCTAAACTGAACACCTGGAAAGTTTCAGATCTGCTAAAATCCAGAGGCAGACACGCCCTTTGGTGCAGGTTTTGCCAGAGAAACATTTTGCCACGTCTGCACACAGACACGTGCCAGCTAGAGTATCACGGCTGGCAACAACTCACTGCTATATCCTGGACTTCAGCTCAGGCACATTTACTTTTCACTGCCATCAGGCGACACCCAGCCTCACAGATCTATCTTTAACAACGTATGTAATTCTTTATCTTAATAATTCAGCCAAGGACTAAAATACATTTTCAAACAAACCATTGGGTTTAACAGTGAACTGAATAATGTAGTGTGCATGAAGTGTGGTCTCCCAGTGAGTTTGTCTGTTTTTTCATTCAGATAAAATAGATGCCAGGACAAGATGGACTCAAGGTAGGGAGAGAAATAGGTCAGAAAAGTGACACAGAAGCTTATTGTAGTTTCCTTTCATGAAAGTAAACCGCTATGAAAGTCTATTTCAGTTAGCCAGTTGCTACAACAAGCTAGCCAATAAGTCCCACTGCTAGCAGGGTTAGCTTACATTTGCACACGGTTCAATACAAAGTACTGAAAGCAGTGAAACATCACTTATAATGTCTATAAAGAATTTTCCTTTTGATGTAATTATCAGAAAGGCTGGACCATGATTATTAATTCCCATCTTTAAAGTTTGATGCTTCAACTTTTTCTACTTCAATATGGACCTTTCGTATGCAGAAATATTTTTCTGCCAGTCACAGTTATAAGTTACACTTATGAACCTCATACAAATCCCAATTTAATCCCCGCTTATAGCAAAACAAATACATACGATGTTTGATCAACTGAGAAAGTGCTGTGTCTCCAGGTTAACAGTGAGGATATCATTCAAAGACATTTTGAAATTGGGACCAGAGGCTCCTTCCCTTTCATAACTTGAATGACAGCGGCTTGGCAAGATATTAAAAAGAAAAAACAACTCACATCACATTTTGAGTAAATCCAGACTGATGAACAAGTTCACTATATGAGATTTTATAGCTGACCCAGGGAGGAAAGCTTGGAGAAAACTTCACATTTCTACCCATAATGCTTTTCCTTATTTTCTGTGTAGTGCATGCTTACACTAAGCACTGCAGAACTTTCAAACACTGAGGTCAATATATATGAAAGTTATCCCTGTGAGCCAAAAGCTCAGGCTGCTCTAAATGTTTACTTTGAGGCATATTTTCTACTCTGGGCTCTGTAAAATGTCAATGACACTGGATAAACTGATATGGCCACACCAGGCCAACAGCACTAGCTGTGAAAGACGGCCCCAACAACTCCTGTTCAAACGCTTTTAGTAGGGGTAGCAAATCAAAGAAACGCTGGGAAAGGAAAGAGGAAGGGAACGAAAGCAGCTTGTTTTAGACCAGTGACTGGCTGGACCAAGCTGAGGGGTTTGCACTAATCCACAGTATAAGACAAATACAGATTTTACAAAACTGTTACTGATGCAAAGCTACAATTTTAGAGTCCACGAATGAAAACAAGACTTTGGAAATGAGCATAAGGCAGAGGTGGTTAGTGTCCTCACAGGAGAAAAGGTTGCTGTAAGCTGCGGGCTCGCTTTGTGGTGTTTGAATGCTCTCATTGTTTCTGTGCAAGTTTTCTCCAGGCACTCTGGTTCCCTCCAGTAGTCCAAAGATGTGTGTGTAAAGCTAATTGGCGATTCTAAACTGCTGATCTGTCCAGGATATACCCTTATGTCAGCTGAAAAAGGGGCCTCCCCCCATCCCCCTTAAACCAAAGCAGAAAGGGTAGTTAAGCAAACAAGCATTGTAGGTCCCCTTTAGAAAGCAGACTGGGTAACCAAATGTAAATGATATTTAGCTACTTTTCAAGCATTCTAACACAAAAGGGCCCAAAGTCCAACAGTACAATGCTGTCAAGTTGGTGCAGCACTGTCACTTCTATATACCATGTCCAGGGATCAAACACCTGTAGTATATATTAATGTACTCAAAGCTGTAATAATACCACAGTGTTCTAGCCAGTAGCTCTCATCTGGACATTTGACCTGACCTACTGAGTAAAAGAGTAGATTGGGAGGAGGTATTATTCCATGAGATCTGCTTAGCTCCAAAGATGTCCACTACTATATCGGTTCTGCTCTCCTACTGCAAGCCTTGAGCAGAAGCTCTTTGGGAAACTGCAACACACTGACTGGACTGGGGAGATAAGCCCCATCCTGTGTGAGTGAGTGTGTGCATGAAAGCATGTCTTGTTAGGTTTTGTGTGGGTGTTCACGAGTGCTGCCTGCAGTCTATCATGGAGGACCATTGGCAGTGTTAATGAACTCTTGCTGGGCGTGTGTGTGTGTGTGTGTGTGTGTGTGTCCACGCTGGGTTTGTGTGTGCTCTTTCCTACCAGCAAAATGAAGGTTTGAGGTGAGAAGTGTATTGATCTGAGAGCCTCATCAGCTTGGTGTGAGGAGATGTCAACTGCTTGGCCAGATTCTGTTACGTAACAGGCAAAGCTATCGACCTGCAGATATCCGCGAGTGTGCACGTAGGCATACACCTTCGGGTGTACAGTCATGCACAGAAGCGGCTCTTTTGCCTTCTATTCTGTACATGAGTCAGATGCGGAGCATCGATTCCCTTTTTAAGAGGCTGCAGTCATAACACAGGTGTTTTTAGCCGGGATGGTTGACGTGTAAACATGCCCGTTTGCTTAAAGGTTAGTGAGTGTGTGTGTGTGTGTGTGTGTGTGTGGGGGGGGGGGTGCAACACTCAGCCTGTTAACACAAATACGAAAAAGTGTCACATTAACACCTGCCACCTCAGCCAATCCTGCAGCATTGAGCGAAATGACAGGTCTTTGACAGCAATGCTAATTAATGATAGCTAAACAGCAAGGCTGCAAAAGAGAAGGGGCTGAAGTGACGAGTGCATTTACATACATTTGCATGCTAATTAGAGATGCTGTCATATTAGCAAAAGGCAGAGATCAGGCTGATTAACAGCCAAGAAGAAACCACACATCTGAGACATGAAAGAGGCACAGAACATGGGATGAAGAGGCCTCACATGTGGTTCCCTGCATGTTGCACCAATGACTACTATAGAATTCTTGGGTTATTGTTATGGGGTTTGAGGGATTAGCAGCATCATTAACTTTTGTTGCTTCAGCAAACACAAAGAGTCTCCTTTGAGGGAGCAACAGAAGATTATGGCACTTCAGTGATACCCCAATCTGAAATTAGATGGCAGCTGGCAGATGTGGACAGATTGGCACATGTACATGCTCCTATGTGTACATTCACTGGGGTGGACTGAGGTGAATGACATTCAGCACTTATGTTCAACATTAACTCAGGCTAGCCTGCATATTGTCAGCAGCTTGATGTAGTCTGAATGTGTTTTTTTATTCATGCAGGGATGTCAGGTGCTTGGGGGATGATTACTGTCGTTTCAGTCAAACAGAGCTGTCTCCCTCAGTTATTTAACAGTCTCTGTGCTGATCCTTTGGAAATCGTGATCAGTGTACTTCCTGTCAAGATGACAGAAGTGCTGAACTGTGGATGCATATGCATACCTGAGTCCTCAGAGTCCTTGCTGTCAGGGGCATCCTCCATATCATCATCAGACATCTCCATCTCCTCCTCTCGTCTGATGCCCATCAGCTGCTCGTTGTGCACGTTTCTAATCTCCTGCAAAACACAGTGAAAAGAGCGACGGGTCAAAACTGCAAAGACTCCAGAGTGATGCACATTTTAGCAGGTGCTGATCAGTAAACTCCTTCAAAGTTGACGCTAAAGGAAAACTGAGCTGCAAAGGAAAACTTTTAACATATTGGTACAGAACAAAGGAGTGCAGCTGCAGAGAGATAAAAAGGATGATATCAGAGCTAGGGCTCAGTTCCTTCTATGGCTCGGAAATGGGGTATATGGTAGCACATATACAATGAGACCTCACCGTTTTGTACTTGGAGAAAAACAGTACACATTAAAGCAGCCATACAAATGCAACTCTACCATCTGTCAATGAAATCAAAGCTCCTCAATTTCACTACACACTGATTCACAACAACAAACCATGATAAGTGTCTCGGTGCACATTGCGCCTGCTGCTGGTTTTTATGCCCATGTTTTATTCTAATTGAGGGCACATCTGGAAACACCAGCAGTAACTGTAAAATACCAATCTTCTCCATTTCATTTCACCCTCACAGACAGAATCGCTAATGACTACATCCATCTGGAGACCAGTAACCAGAAGCAGGTTTCAAAATGGTTTAAAGATTAAGGTCATACCACTGAAATGGAGTGGCTGTAATTGAGACAAAACCTTCCAGGTTTGTGCTGAGAGAAAGTCAAAACCAACAAACGAATAAACATATGGTCGACTGTTAATACTAAGACTATCCTACCACATCTTCATTGTTTGGTCTGTGTCTGGACCTTTATGTAACATGCTTGCATTTTAGTGTAAAATATACATCTCGAAAGAATTATAATGCACAGCTAATTTAGATGTACGATGCATTAGATACACGATTACATGCTCTGACAGGCCTAATATTTTAGCTTGTGCTGCAAAAGGGGTGAGGACTTGATTCACACATGTATGCAACACATATTAATGAATATAATAAAAGCAGTTGTTAATATAACAGCTGCACAATCATCTATAGAGCTCAACCTTTGTTGCAGCTTAACGGTTGAACTTTGAGGCAGCCGATTTAAAGCCGAAGGCATCGATCAATCTCACCATGATACTCCTCTCTCCTGCGACTTCACTCATTTACAGCATTTAGCGATCAAAAGTGATTTAAACTTTGACCTCCATTTATTTGTGTTGTCCTCGGGATTCCCATACACTTGTTTGCCATCCACCTAGGGGTCATTTTTGACCCGAGGACAACACAAGGGTTAAATCATTAAATATATGATTTATGCTTTAGAACAAAAGCAAAACATACAAGCCATCACTTAACAAGCCTGCATGAGCCTCTAGTGTCTTTCAAAGGAGTTTTTTCAAAGCATGATATTCTCTTCATGTACACAACTACACGGACACATTATCAACAGGGTGTCTCTTAGGCAATCAATGAAATAAAGACAGTGAAACATGAAAACAAGTATTTACTGAAATAAATACAGAAAGACACATATGGGGAGTGCTGTGTTTACAAACACCATCAGTAGATAAAAAGCGCAAAATCAATGAAATAACAATTTCTAAGGGAGGGAGCAAAAAAGCTGCCCAAGAGTAAATACATTTAAAACCATCTGTCAGCTGATGTTATCAGCCTGAGCCCGTGGCACAGGTCAAACAGGTACTCGAAACACACAAGCACACGTGGAGAAACAACCCTCTGTGCACAAGCACACATCCACTGCATACACACCAACACACCACATAAAAACAGAGAGACAGCTGTTGTTTGATTCTGCCTGTGAGCTGCAGCTCCTCAACAGCGCCGCCCGTTCCTCTATTATTCGCCTTTAGGCCACAGAGTGATACTGGCTGCCTCTGATGTTAAACTGTCCCCAAACAAACACACTTACTTACCGATTCTCTATACACTGGACAGTGTCTGCAAGCACTACAGCCTCTAAGACAGATAGGTATGAACAAAATAAAACCATTATTTGATAGTAAAGAAATGATCAGCTTTAATGGTTAAAGTCGAAGCATCCACCTCTACAGCCACATGCAGTTTTTGACTTTTTAAACCCATTGTTTTGGTTCTCTGACCTTCACACACAACGTGTAGTTGCCTTTCACACTCCTTGTTACACGTCCATATATAACTAAAGGTAACAGCTTCCGGCTCACGCAGCTGAGTGCACTGTACCAACCCAGCAATATAGGCGTGGATGTGTTTCTTGTAAGCAATCATAAAATGCAAGTGCACTTTTTGGAATTGTAAGCATTCAGTGAAGCATAAAGGAGCATTGCCTCCTTAGAGGTTGATTTTTTTCTATACCTAACGTGAGTAATTGTTCCCTATTTACTTAATACATTTTAGAAGAGTTTTCTTTTTCTGCCTGCTGCAGGTTAAGCTCAAGTGCAAGACTGATCCAAAGCAATGAGCTGACAGATACTAAAACACTTCACAGTCTTTGAATGTACAGGGAGTAAGGGCACCGAGTGATTTATTAGGATAATCTATACTTGAAGACGCCTACCGGTTGCATGTGACCTCGCTAGTTACGATTACTTTTCCTCAGGCCCTGAGGCCTAACAGCCAGAGATAAAGACTCAACTCGGGTTTATGCTAACCCAACAGCTAGAGTTGAAATTACTTCACTTATCGCTCACTTTGGGGCGATCGTGGCTCAAGAGTTGGGAGTTCGCCTTGTAATCGGAAGGTTGCCGGTTCGAGCCCCGGCTTGGACAGTCTCGGTCGTTGTGTCCTTGGGCAAGACACTTCACCCGTTGCCTACTGGTGGTGGTCAGAGGGCTCGGTGGCGCCAGTGTCCGGCAGCCTCGCCTCTGTCAGTGCTCCCCAGGGTGGCTGTGGCTACAATGTAGCTGCCATCACCAGTGTGTGAATGTGTGTGTGAATGACTGGATATGTAAAGCGCTATATAAATACAGGCCATTTACCATCGCTCGCTTTGAGACAAGCACACAATGTCACGAAGTGTCTAAATCGCTTCTCAGCAATTGTAAGTGTAAAACAGCCTGAAGAGAAAACACTTCGAAGGATGTTTCAAACAGGGATGTTTCCTTGTATCAGGACATATTTAGCAGCAGTGTCCACCCACCGTGGTCTCTTTTGTTTACATTTAGGGTCATACTGTACACTCAAATGTATGCAAGGCAGGAAAAGAACAGAAAAAACCCCAAGGCCTGATGTAAACACTGTTCACAGCATAAGAGATTTGAAAACTTTCAATATCTAAGAGTATGTTTTTATATATGTACAAAAGTATGATTCGCCAGTGAGTGTATTGCTTAAGGACTGAGTGAGGAATGGCAACAAAACAAAAGGGTCTTTCCTGATGGCAGCGTGTGCAATTAAATATGCATCATTCTGCTTTCTCTTACTCAGAGGCCTTAACATGAGCCATTATAAACACAAGTTCCATGCTCATAATTCTGCAGTACATCTGATAATTGGAGCGACATTTCTGATTTGCACCACCACCTACCTTCAATGTGAAGTTTTTTTGCACAAGTTGACTGCTGCTTCTGCTATGACTTATTTTGTTATTAATGAGCATCTTAACTGGGCTTTAACTTGCATCTTAAAACTGTTGTTTTTCATACTATGGTTCAAAGAAACTTACCAATCAGATATGCTCAAATACGGTCCATTAGACGCAGGACTGCAACACATGCCAGACCCTCCATTACATACAACCCATCATCATGTCAATTAATGTTCCATTTGGCAGAGAGAGAAAATAGCAAGCAGACAGCAGATGACAAAAGTGCTGTTAGACTTGAAAATGAATATGCTTTTAGCTCTCAATATATGTCCCTCAATCATTTACTTCAGAGAACGAAAAAAGCCCCCCCAAAATCAACATCTTCTAATTTATTGGTGAAGAGGGCAGGGAAGGCTTGTACAGATTTACCTTTCTTCTTGAACACACTTAGGGGTGGAAGAAACAGACTCACCAAGCACCTTGTATCTCTTCATGGGGGAGGCAAGGCTGGAGGAAGGAGTGGAGGAGGAAAGGGCCTCAGTCTGTGCCTGGATCTCGCAACGGCTCGATTGAGAAGGCACCTGCTCTGCAGCCTTGCTTCAGTCAAAGTACTTACTATTACAAGGGCTCTGCCCTTTCCTATTATTTCTTTATTATTACCATCACCTCTTTGGTATCAAACAACATTTTAAAGAGCTTTACATTGAGAAGGCGTAAAACAAAGTGGGATAATGACTAATTGTTCCATAAATGATGTGATTGACACAGTTAAATCAAAATGTACCAACCTCTGCTTGTTTGCGCCACATGTCCAGATTCTTGCGCTGAGCTTTGGAGAAATGGTCCCATGCCTTTTGTTTGGAAGCAGCTTGGAATACAGACACAATCTGTTCAACTGTGGCAGGATGCAGGGAAGGACCAGTGACCACCCAGAGACAGAGAGAGAGAGGGAGAAAGAGAGAAAGAGAGAGAGGACAGTTGGGAAGGAGCAGAGGAGTGAAAAAGCGGAGTCAACTAGGGATGTAAAGAACTGTGTGTGTGTTCGTTCAGTGGTATATGCATGCGTGTGTTCTACTTACCAGCTGATGCCAGTGCATCATCCTATGGGAGAGTGATCAGATAGTTCCCACAAGCAAAAGTTCAATAAATTATACAATTTCCGCAGAGCGTGCTTGAATTATATGAGACAAACTGGTTTCTGCAGAGCAGTTGCTCTTTAGCACATGTCTACTCTTGACTTTAATTACCAACACGGCTCTATAGCATAAATTGATTATTTTAGTTCAGGCTGACACAAACATAACCACTGGATCACTAAACTTGGCAGTTATTCATGAACCCCAGAGGATAAACTCCCCTGAAATTTTCTGAAGGAACATCTTGTAGTTCTGTAGCTATCTTGAAATATTTCCAGGCACATATTTGGGAAGCTACTTCACTCAGCTTCTTACAACAAGCAAGCAAATTAATGGGTAATCTGCATTTAACAGGTATGGTATAATTAAACCGAGTGGCTTACGATTAGCCAAATACACCACCATGTCTAACGAATTTGAACATACCGAATTCAATCTTGACACTGACTGAAGAGCTACTCATATCTTCTTTTTTCCTGTCAGTTCAGGTGCTTTTAAATGCCAGTTGGGAATATCACAGGTTTCCCCAAAAATGTCAGCTTTCCAGTCATAATTACATCTTGGATGCTGAAGTTAATACTAGTTAAAAAAGACAAATTATAGTACCTCACATGTGACTTGAAGAAAGGAAGGAGTACAGTGTCTCAGAGCTGCGAGCATGGCTGCAGACTTATTGTTTAATGAGGGACATTTTGCTCAGCAACTGCCAGCTGCCAAAAATAACCAAGGCCGACTCTCAGTATGCTACCGTTGACCACAATGCAGCTCCACTGCAGACGTGGGCTCTCAAGAACCTTGCCCAAGGACAACAAGTTGTTCAAGTAAGAGTGTTCCTGATTTATTTTTCCTGTGCAAATGCCATAAGCTCTATGCCGCTGCTAAAACCTTTTACACGACTGTAACTACAAAGTCGTTTAAAGGGTAGAGACTCGAGTCTGGACTTTGAGTTTTTTCGGGTCATCGTGCCTAATTAGCACGAGGCAATAAGCCAGAACCTTTAACTTCAGGGTCTCCATTTACTCTGGAAGCGATGTGGTTGGGGACAGCTGCTCTGGGTCTAAATATATTCTGTGTCAGATTTTATCTTATGTGCAGTACATCAACTGAGTGATTTTTCCACCACCAGCTACCTGTCTGTTGTCATGCAGGTGGTCATGGGTGGTCTGTGTATCTCAGAAGCCCTAACTCACGCAGAGGGGGAGCCAATAAGACCTCCAGTTAAGTGTGCGTTGGTGTGTGTGTGTGTTTGCAGAGTGGTGAGAGATAGCACAGTTCAAGGATCAATATCATCTTCCCAGCACCCTGTAATTTGATGGATCCAATCGATGGTCAGGGCAAAGAAGAGAGGCACATGTTCAGACAGGCTTTCAGGCCTGTGAGCATATATGGAAATATTTATACATTTTGTATACTACTCGTCTTCGACAGAAAGTCGGTCAAATACAACCTCTTCACTGTCAATTATCTGGAGTTTCTGGAGAAGCAATGTGCTTTTGAGTCTGTTTTTTTCAGGGCTTTAAGTAACACAACTTCAAATCTAGTGAGGTAGCAGCAGAAGCAGTATCTCAAAACCTGGGCATATGCAATGTGACTGTATGCAACAATAGACACCACTAAAGATTAAGTGAACATGTTTTTGTTAAATTTGGGATGAGAGACATCCTGTAAGGTGACATATAGCTTCATAAACTACAATTTGTGGACGGCAAGTAGTAAAGCAGACAGACTTTAGCTGTAATGACAAATAAAGCCTCCCCCACAGGCTGAGTTACAGTATCAGGAAAAAGCTAAGAATTTATGTTTGGCTGAAATAATTGAGAATGGCCAATACAAAACAACAACAACAACAAACAGGCCTGCCTCTCTTTCTGGTTTATACAAAGAACTATATCCCCACCATCTGTGTTTTCCATGTGCATTATTTATCTAATAAAAATGAAACAGCGAAACTAGCGACCGTCTCTAATGACGTTACGTTGTATTTAACATGCATGTGGTGACAAAGTGTTGCAGACTTTAGTGTAAATCAGCAGCTGAAGAGCTGAAGCTGCCAAAGGTGGGTTTCTCCATTTTATTATGCCTTTGGCTTTTTATCAACATCAGTGTGCAAAGCATTCCCTGTACATGCTCGCTCTCCAGTGTATTCTTGCAGAAAGTATGTTACTACGTCCATCCTGCAACCTTAACATTCCACTCCTGTGTTTTCTTCCAACAACAATATGAACCTTTCATTCCTCTGACTTTTTAAAGAAATATTTTGTATTATAGATGCAGCAAAAAGGGAGCAGGAGCCTTACAGGGAACATTTCGTGGCGATCGTGGCTCAAGAGTTGGGCCTTCGCCTTGTAATTGGAAGGTTGCTGGTTCGAGCCCCGGCTCGGACAGTCTCGGTCGTTGTGTCCTTGGGCAAGACACTTCACCCGTTGCCTACTGGTGGTGGTCAGAGGGCCCGGTGGCGCCAGTGTCCGGCAGCCTCGCCTCTGTCAGTGCGCCCCAGGGTGGCTGTGGCTACAATGTAGCTGCCATCACCAGTGTGTGGATGTGTGCGTGGATGGGTGAATGATTGTGTAAAGCGCTTTGGGGTCTTTCGGGACTAATAAAGAGCTATATAAATACATCCATTTTCATTCTTAGGAAAGAAATTAAACTTACCTTTAAGCCATGGTCCCAACAACAATTTAGTACAAGACAAGAGGGCAGCTATGACACTTTTAAGCCTAACCTTTAAATCCGCAGTGTGTCGGTCAGTAGTTACATTTGTGTGCAAGCACACGGTCTGTGCATCATGTGAGAGACTGTGAACAATGTCATACTTACTTTTTAGTGGATTACAGTTCTCCAGAATGCAGGCTTGATTTGGATTCTTGGTGCCTTTGCCTAGCTTACAAACTATTTACATTCAATGTGGGTGTGCTATCCTAAAACTTACACTGAACCAAAAAGGATTTGACTCATGCCATCATATCCTCTTCCTGCATTGCACAATAAGGAGCTTACTTACAGTATATACAGTGTAAATATTGAAATATGCAAGTGTGTGTTGGTGAGAGACAGACTGTAGTAACTCACATTGAGCCAGTATACCAGCCAGAGCAGTCTTGAACTTGTCTTTGGCTTCTTCCATCTCTTTTTCATGCTGACTCTTCTCGCTCATCAGCCGGCGGATGTGGCTGTTGGAGGACTGGATCATGGAGTAGAAGTTGTTGGCGTTTCTGCGGTTAACTTCGCCTCGTTCAAGCCAGGTCAGGAGCACACGAACCGCTTCAGGAAATTTGCCGTCATCTGGGCAAGAAAGAGTAAGAGTTACGATTGACACGGAAAAGAAAAAACACGCTGTACCCTGTACAGTCTCACGAAAGGAGAGGAGTGCACCAAACACCAAGCATGATGATAAAGCAGAGACTTCTCACCTATAATCCCATAAGGCTGAAAATATGCTCTGCTTTCTGGTCACTAATAAATGTTTCATATAATAAACTGTGAAACGCAGGTACATTGTAATATTAAAAACACGTTCTCCTGTACTGACCATATACAAAATAAAAGCAGGGTTAATAAGAGCAAGGAAACCTTAAAAGCAAGTGCCTCTGGATGAAAGAAAAACAAATTATGACACACAGTTATATATTTGGAAACAAACAACTTTGTGGACTTCAACAACAGCTAAGGGCAGAGACAAGCACCCATTTATAGGGATCTTGGTGAAAACCTCCTCTATAGGTGTCTTGTCATTAAAAGCAGGATCTGAGTTATACAACTGCCTGGGAGAAACGGCTAAATCCTCTTTCCCCTTTGGAAAGAAAACCTAAATCTGAAGCAATAGTTGGGATAAAAGTTTTCACAACAGCAGCCCAAAGTGATCAGAAACAAATCCTTGGCTTGAACGGCACAGTGCTGGAGTTCTTCGCACCAAAGGCTGGGGAAGGGAGAGCTGAAAAAGACTCACGCAGATGGTTGAGAGGCACAAAGTCACAGCCATTTTGTTATTAGGCAACTGTGACTGAGACCTGGAAGTGTCACTGCTCATTAGTGAAACAAGTTTATTCAGCCAGAAACTCGACAGAAAGCCGAGAACGGGAGAAAGAGCTGAGAAGAAAAAAATAGAGAGGATGAGCAGGGAGGAGAGTAGAAGAGAGAGGACGAGATAAGAGAGAAGCGGTTGCTGAGGGGAGAGTAAACTGATATACTGTGTTTAACAGCCGTTTCGTCTTTTGAAAGCAAATTTGTTAGAACATCAGAATTACTTTCTCAGATTTACCGGCTGCAGTTTATGGCTGTTCCTGTAATGTCCTGCACTGGGAAATCCCTGCAAGCACACACACTCGCAGTACTCAACCACTGTCATGACTTATTATCTACCTTGTCAGTTTTTGGATTGCATGAATAAAGACAGTACCATGAGGCCTATTTTTGTATTCTCTCAATAACAATGTGACAGAAGCAAATGATTTTCTTCCACACATGCGACAGGTTCTTCTCTTCTGCCAATCTGTGTTTCTTATGTTTGTGCTCTCATATCCTGCATGCTTTTCATTGTACATGCTTCACAGATTGCCAGCATCCATGTCTACCTTTGATCTTGTCTCCCAGCTGACCGCACTCGTGCTCAGAGTAGTGGACGATGGGAGGAGGGGATGGTGGCCGGAGGCGATCTTCTTCCATCTTGCGTCTGTGACGCTCCTCTCTGGCTAACATGCGCTGGCGACATTCCCACTCATAGAGGTCGTCTCTGGCCTGTGCGAAGTCGACGTGGAGGCGTCCAGTGTCTTTTTTGTCTGTGCTTGAACCCAAACGGATACGATAACCTAGGAAGGAAACGGAAATTGTAAATAAAAGAGAAATAATGGTCGAATGAAGTAGGAGGCGCTTAAGAGAAACTAATGTGCCTCTGGTCTCTGGTTTCATTTGTTACTTCACAGTTCAGAACACGAAGGGGAAAAAAGTAGAGGGTAACATGTGACATCACTCGTCACAGAGTAACAGTTACGCAGCCTCCTGTGGCACGTAGACTGCTGCAGCAAAGCAATACAAGGCATGAATGCTTCTAATCCCGGACATCTGTCAAATTCGTACGTCCTGTTTACATCAGTTTCTTATTAAACCGTGCTCATTTGTCTTTGGTACTCTCCATTAGTCTTACACCTTCTACACTGCTCAAAAAGCTGAGAAAAATGATTTAAGTTACACTTGACTGAACTGAAAAGCAATACATTTGAAAGGAGTGACACTCTAAAAAGGTATGTGTAGTCTGTGCCACTGGGGATTTCCTCTGAGCCAACAGTAAAACACTTTCCATTACTTTCAACAATGTGTATTTAGATCCAACAAAATCCAGCGAAGACACTTTTTATTGGGATCTACGAGTTGATTCACCTCCAGCATGCCCTCATCATTACTCTCTTCTTCTTGTTAGATCTCTTGGTTTGAGAAGATATATTAGCTGTAGGGTTTGTGGAGTACAGAAGGCCTGCATCCTTTTGGGAATACACAAGGGAGACTTAGAGAGGCCAATTACTTCTCTAGTGGCACTGAAACACCACAATATCCCTCATTACCCCCACTCTTCTCCACACTAGTTCCCACTTATCCCCACTCTCCCCTCCTTACTCAATTTCCACTAATGGCTGGTTGTGGACTGAAGTGAAATCTGGTCCATTTTGTGATTTAATTGCTTCGAAATGATCAGAGTGCATCCAACGTGTGTTTTCGGTCACACGTGTAAGAGTGTGTTTTCCAACTGAGCAAAGTAATGATGTGCAGAGTGATTTACTGACAGACACAACACACTCTCATCAAAGGAAAAATAAAAAGAGGGTGAAACAGTGTTGGATGCCAACAACAACAAACCAAAAAAAAAGCAGGAAAAGAAATGAGCGCGATTTCAGGGTCTCGACTGTCTGCTCCATCTGCTTCAGGCTCCCAGTCTACTACTGCTCCAATATTTCATATGAGGAGATCTTGGTGTGGGCTGCTTGAGTGGGTGTCATTTCTAGGTAGTGTTTGCACAGTGTGTGTGTGTGTGGTATTATTTATGGGGGAACTACACAGCTCTGTCAACACTTTAATATATGGACCCCCACTCCCACATCTCACTGTAAGAGTATATGCGGACGAAATCGACGGGTCTCTCATTCAAACCCACACTCAGACATACACACACCTGCCTACCTACCTGCATGGACACACAATAACGCAGAGAATATTCCTGAATTGGGTTAAGAGTTTGGGGGGAGCAGGAACACAGGACAATGTGTTTGCTCTGAGAGATTTAAGATGTCTGTAGTCCAGAAGCTACTGTGGTAATATAGGAGCCTATAAGCCAATGATACATGGTTAGTAGAGGTTTTTTTGCCTTTATGGTAAATGGATTTTTTTGGCACCTGTAGTAGAAAACTCCGCTTAGATCTCTTTCCTTAAGTGACTTAATAGAGACTAGCCAGTTTTTGATTTCTTCTAGTGCTCAGTCTAATAAAGAAATACGAAAACATTTTTAATAATTGAATGCTCTTCTTTGTGGTATAGCCACAAAGTTTAACCTTGGGTGCTGAAGGTGAATTACAAATGCACTGATCTACTGGGATTTCCCTGTACCACCATCTCTAGATTTTACAGAGAAAGAAAAAAATATCCAAAAGGTCTTTGTTTATGGGACTTTGAATATTTAACCACTTGATATAAACAAAGTACGTAGAAGAGCATCTCTAAACGCACAACACACTGAGCCTTGAAGCAGATGGGCTACAGCAGCAGAAGACTGCAGCAGGTGCCACTCCTGTCAGCTAAGAACAGCAATATAAAGCTAAAATTCACACAGACTCACCACAATTGGACAATGGAGGACTGGAAAAAAACTCTGCCTGGACTGGTGACTCTCGATTACTGCGGCAACAGTAGGGTCAGAATTTGGTGTAAACGTCATCTATCCTGCCTTGTATCAGACTGGCGGTGTTGTAGTGGTGTGAGGTAGTGCTGGGCGATATGGAAAAAATATTTATCACGATATGAATTATTTTATATCACGATAACGATATATATCACGATATACCACCTGACTTGTGGTCATCTAGAAAGTACGCAGTCTGTAAAGAGAAAGTGCCGAGGGTGCAGTCTTTGTTCTGAGTTACCGTAGAGTATGTCGCAAATCCGGGTGCACGTACAGCAGCACCAGGTCGCAAACCACAAGACGGAATTTCTTTGCAAAAATTATCATTTTTTTTATACTTTATTTTCTCTTGCATAAAGTTAAGAGCATGTATAGTGAGAAGACAACACTAATATATTTGCCACAGGCTACTTAACCCTTTAAGACCTACCATAGAACCAAGTCCGCCAGAGCTTATCTTTATGTTTTTACATGCTGTAGTGCCATTCGTGGGAGCATTTCAAGTTTCCATACATCAATACAACCGTTATAGCCCAAATATTAAAAATATGTATGCATTAAGTCCATAGTAACTATATAAATTGCAAAAATTTGTAGTGCAATAAACTACAAAAAATTTAAAATCGTTTTTGTTTTTTTACATATATTTCTAGTTAGAAAAATTTAAGAGGCTTATCCCTCAAAACTGTAAATACAAAAAAGTTGCACAAAATAGTTTCCAACCACGAGAAATTTATTTTGAGTGTCTTCATAGTTTTATTTCTGAGATACACTAATTTTTATATACTACAGGAAAAATGAAAATAAATATTATAATTATAATTTGAGTTCTAAACATCCCAGAAACGATACAGAAAAGCATAAAATCAAACATGACTTTTAAAAACACCAACATAGGCTTATAAGGCCCTTTCGCGGAAATGCCCGGTTTCGGGCAGGTAATGGTGGACGTGCGATAGTTCGCGCTGACGTATATGCCAATGTAGGAAGTGTTATGAACATCGGCAAAGCGTGTTTCTGGAATATTATGCTTTTGTTGCTGCAAGTGCTTCTTATGCAATGTTTGCAAAGCTATATGTGGAAGGAAACCGTGACCTAGGGCAAGCTGATGGCATTAGATGCAAGTACAACTCCGGTTTCACATGCAAAAAAAATTATTTCGCTACCTTACGTGGTTCCAGTTCTACAGGGATTTAAAAATAGTTAGGTAAAACGGAGTTTGCCTGCTCCGACCGGTTGTAAAGGGTTAACTATATATTTTATGTAATCATTTATAAAATTTGGGTTAGAAACGATAGAAGACACTTTTCTCTCGTCCACACAATATATATCGTCATATCGCCCAGCACTAGTGTGAGGGATATTTTCTGGCAATCCATTGTTTCAACACCGCAGCCTGAGTGCTGCTGCTGACCATGTCCATCCCTTTATAACCACACTGTACCCATCTTCTGATGGCTACTTTGAGTAAGGTAACACGCCACGTCACAAAGCTCAAACCATCACAAACTGGTGTCCTTAACATGAAAATTAGTTCACTGTACTAAAAAGGCCTCCACAGTCACCCCATCGCAATCCAGGAAAGCACCTTCGGGTTGTGGTGCAACTGAAAAAAATCTGCAGCAACTGTGTGATGCTATTACGTTATCGTCATGCTATGTTAACATGGAGCAGACTCTCTTATGAATGTCTCCAGCAGAATAAGGCAGTTCTCATATCAGAAAGAGGGTCAAACATGGTACCAGCAAGGTTTACACAGCGAGTTGTTTTAGCAAAGGTCTTGATATTTTCTGACAGTTGTTTTGTTTGTTTTTGGTAGGCATTTTACCAAAGCACTGAAGTGCTCAATGAAAACACGAATGGCAGCAGGACATCCACAAGCTCACTTTAAGTGGTACTTTAACAACAGAAATTCACACCACTGCGTTTCATCAGTAAGGCCTTAAACAATAAATAAAATTAAGGCTTTAGATTTGCGACCTCTTACCTGACAGGAAGAGCGCCTTGTCCACAGTTGGCTCCTCCGCAAATCTGATATGGCAAAAGTTCTTCTTGCTTTTGCGTATGGCTGTGATATCGCCACACTGTCCAAAGACCTCCATGATGAGCTGCTCTGTGGCATTTTCTGGCAGACCACCGACAAACACAGTCTTACATCCCGGAGGGCGGTCTCTGGTTGCCGGAGGGGGCAGGTCTGTGACAAAGAACAGCCATGTGTAAGACATCATCAAGTTGAAATATAAATACGAGGCTGGAAAAACTAACAACTCTAATTAGTCGACAGCATTTCTTAATGTTTGCAGTTCAAAAAAGTCCTCTGCAATGTTTCTTAAACTTAAACACAGGCAACCCGAGAACAATTCAGGTAAAACACTTTATTTTGAGCATGAATTTTGCTCTTTGTGAAGATGAAAACAATACAAGCAGCGGTAACCATTGATTGGACTTTGCCAGAGAAAAGTGGTTTTCTTTAAAATTCATTGCAAGAAAAAAACAAAACAAAGTAACAAACAGAACTATTATCAACAGCACTGCCTGAAAAATGAGGGAAAATGATTAAAAAACCTTTCATCACTTTGTAATAATAACATTTTGTTCAGCCTTTAATCGAATAGGTGTTTATTTTGTCGTTTTTAAGACATCTGTGTATTAAACATGGAGACAAGTCAAAACTATAGATGAAAATAAAGCAGAACTGCAGCCAACCATAAAAATAAAACCTGGATTATCATGTACAATAAAAATATCCATTAAAATAAAGATAAGAGAAGACCATTGGTGCTATGAGAAATGCAAAATTTTAATAAATAATTATAGCATAATAAAGGATCCCATCACCAAATAAGCAAGACTGACAAAAGCAAATGCAGCGTAATAGCAGGGCATTAATGAAAAATCCATTTTAGAAAAAGCCTCTACATTCAGACTGAGAATAATGAGGGCCAGATCACAGCAACATTAAAAGAGCAAGATGACATCTGTATATAATACAAGCAAAAACCAAATTCTCAGGGTGATGCTGTGCATTTTCAGTGAAGTCATTCTAGAATAGAGCACTCATGACCTAAAAAAATTATGAAGCTTAATCATATCATTAATGAATAATGACCTCTTTAAGCAAGAGTTTTTTTGTAAGAGAAACTGAAAAATCAAACCCTCCCATCCATGAAAATGAAATTCTGTTGGCCCCAAAGTGACAGATCTTTTAATGTGAAGGGTCCCTCGCACTGCAGAAATCACTTATTCATCACAGATGAATGTTGACTGATTTAATCTCCAATAGCTACGGCTTCTCATCCATGATGAATATGATTAGCGTGGTCTACGAGAAGTGAACCAGCTAATCAGTGTAGTGCAGAGGATGCTGTATTTCTAGACGTCTACTAGGAAATCTCTGCAATGGGGCTGAACCTGGTTGGATACCTGAGATATAGGAGGAGGATTGGTCAGGATATAGGTGTTTTTAGTAGTAGATTTCAGTAGTGGCATGAAACGAAAAACAAAAAAGTATTGTTTCCTAGTAACAGCTGTTAAGAAAGAGTCTAGCAGCACCCTGAGTTTCCTATTCTGCCTTCTGGATCAGTCTTTAAAGGATTCATCTGTTGACACAAGTGCACACATCTAGAGTGCAGTCAGAAAAAAAACTCCCCTCATATTCTTATTATTCTCATATATGCACTGGTGAATACAATTTCAGATTTACGTTACACATGGTTCATGTTTCTTTATATTTTGTTTTGTCATTCAACGACCAAACAGTCTTCCACTGATGCTTGTAAAGCAAGAACTCAAACTTTAATGAAAGCTCTGGATTCAATGCAGCACAGGATTTGATAAAAGAATGAAGGAGAGGACGGCACGAGCTGCTGTGTTCTCAGCAGGGTGGCTCATCTCATGCTCAACAACAAACTAGACTGGTAGTGGACTCCTGATGCAGTTTCGGTTTTGGTAACAGTTTAGGATCATTATTAGCTACTATGAAACACTAATGCCTTATTCTCGATCAATAGCCTCCTACTTAACAATAAGGAAGAAAGTCGTCATTAATAAGTTATGTTCTTATATATGTTGTTCTATATATGCTCTTACTTTGTGCTGCACCACAAGAACAGGCATTCTTCGTTCTGCAGCCTCAAACATTTAAACATGTTATTTGGTTACGTTTAGACACCAAAATGACTTTTTGGGTTACGTTTCAAGGTTAACATATTTACCTGAGGTTTTCTCAATGCTCTGCGTTGTTTTCTGTTCAATCGCTGATTACAGTGAATGATAACTGCCTACTAATCTCTGCAGGCAGGTTTGTAGGCAGATTAGCCTGTTAAAGATCATTCCTATGAGACTCCTGATAACAGGAACTCAGTGGGCATTAAACATCTGGATTGGCTGTGCAAATAGATAATCCTGCACAACAAAAAGCTCCGTCGGCTGAAAACAATGATTGTTTCGTAGCCTTGAACAATCGCAGCCTCTTTCAACTGCCTTTCAGAAAATCTCTGAAGTGGACGAGTATGAAATGGGATCGTTCTACGTGTAATGACTTCTTGTTTAACTGGAATAAACCCTGTATCATTTTAATGTGTTTACGGTGTTACAAATGGAACTTGTTAACTGCAGAAGTTATAAAGGATTTTATTATTACTTGGTTCTGGGGAGGCAACTTTATACCAGACAGTAGGAAGCTTTAATTCTGAGCTACTTGGAGACTATTAACACTTGGAGGTTTTGTAAAAGTTAACATCTTACCATATTTATTTTAAATAATTAACCACATGCTATTTGGGGAGCCTGACTATTCGCGAGATACTACTACCTTAGAAAGTCTATACTAAACAAAGCATACTGAACATGTAATCATGTAAAATTTCATTGCTTACTATTAATAACAAGTAATTACTGACTGACCTAGCAGATGCACAGCATGATCATAAGGAACAAAGGTGAAACAACTGGTTCATAATATCTAATAAAGAGCCAACCGGCTATGCACTTGGACACAGTTTAAAGCCAAGCCTTGGTTTGGCAATAATAAACAATATATTGCTAACTGTTACATTATTTAGTTATTATAAGCACAACAATATACTACAGCATCATGTAACACACAAAGAAAAAAGTTAGGGGAAGGAAGTTTAGTTGTGAAAACATAACGATCCAAAGTCAGAGTTTTCTTTTGGCTAAAAAGCTTTATCAGCTCATAATCCCCTGCTGTCAGAACTCCTTGTACTTGCATGCAGCATTGTTAAGAGCTGCAAACAAACTTTATGTCTCTGAGCCGGAGCCAGCACCATCTCTTTCTTTTAATTTTTCCCCCTGTATCTCTTCTACCTTTACACACAGGCTCCAACAACCCATCCCTCCCCCTGCCTCTCCTTTTCTTTAAATGCGACCGTTAAAGCAAACATCGTCTGTTTCATTCCTTGACCTCTAGAGTTGGCGGATTAGACTAGTTTTTCAGTTGAGATGGACAGAAAAAGTAAAGGCAGAGCAGAAAAAGCTGCGATAGCACAGAAACGCTTTGTTGGCAGATGCAACAAAGACTTCCAAATTAACTGACCTTTTCGGTCCACGAGCGGCCGATGGAGGACAGAGAAGGGAGAACAGGTGCAGTGCAGAAATAACCTAATGTGACATGCTGTAAGTTATCTAAAAAGAATACAATGGAAAGTCTTGGGGTTTTTTTTGGCCTAAATCTGTGAATTTCTGTGTATCTTTTAAAACTTAGCAGGAGTGAAATCATTTTGCAATCCCCTCGGCTGCCTGCTGTGCTACTGAATCGCACTGTTTATCACAATCGAACATTTTATGCAAACGAATTAGAAACAACTCTCTAGATGAGCTATTTGTGACTTCCAGATTACAGTAAATACACGATATCAGCGGATATCAAAGCATTTATGAACAGTGCATGTGATTGCATTTTATGCAAATATAATGAGCCAGTGAACCTGAGGCTAAGGAAGCATAGGAAGAGGATGGATGGAGCAGCTTTTGCAGGATCTCTTGTGGAAATCATTTGGGAATTTTAGCAGGTTAGAAAGTACTAATAATATAATAAAGGACAAACCAGTGGCTCAAAAATGACCCTGTGATTTTCTCTTGTATTAGACCAAATTATTCTGCACATACAGTTTCATGAATGTGGCTGTAAAGCAAACAGACTGGCTAATTTTTAGTTCAGCCCTGTCCCAATGGCCTGCTCTTCATATGACCACCCAGTGGTTTGCTACACTGTCACCGGTTATTGTAATCCATCAGCTCGACTGACCAGACACCCTTTCATGGTCTGAGAAGATGCCACAGAGAGGAAGCTTTGTCCCTCAAAGGCCAACAGTTTACAAGACTGTGGTGTGAATAAGGCACGGCGGGACCACAGATCGTCATTTTGAGCCGTCTTTATTTGCTGCGGCTGCAGCTCACAGGCTGCCAGCCGCACATGAACACTCCACCAACCCCTGAGTCCCGTGTTTTAACACAGCGGACGTGATTGCGGATGCTGTGCAAGTGCGTCCGCACGGCCCCGCACACCACGCCCCACCACAAAAGACAAACTACAATCTACACACATTCAAGTACCTATGTTTAGCTGATTCTTGTCAGGGGTAAACTAAGCCATGTGCACGAAGAATTACGGCGAAAAATGGCACAACTGTCTCACAACTGCACACACTGCGATCTGCACATCAGTGTCTGTTTGGTTTTGTTTGGTTTAATCGGTTTGCTTACTACTGTCTGAATAACTGGTTGTTGCAAACACATGAAGCACTGGCATGTACAATGGGGCCCTGCTTATGGCGCACAACGCTTGCGCGAAATGCATCAAAATCAATAATGAGCCAAGAAACTGGAGAAAAACCTCAAACAAACCAACCAAACATTTCTGAGCATCCTTCCTAAATATTTTATACTGTATGTGTTCATATGTCGAACTGGTACACACTGCAAGAATACTAAAATCTCTTTAAAGATAACTATACAAACTTCTCTAACAACATCCTCAGAGGGTTGGATAAGAAAAACAGTTATCAAGCTTTGAAGTGGGTCCATAGGTCCAAATACTGGGAGCAAAGCCTTTGCAAACCATTTACAATACCACCGAAGCATTATGTAGTCGACCAGGCAAAAGAGGCAGTAGAGAAGGTGAACCAGTGATCAATGCTGAATTGAGAGGGTTTGACTGAAGTCAAGAGGGGG